ATTTATGAGCTTATTGGATATCCAATAAGATAGGGGCTCTGATAGATATCTCATATATGAACCTCTATTCATCGCAATGCCTATCATATTTGTATGACCCTCTAGGCTCAATATCGAGCTGGCCATGAGTCATACCTATTAGAACTCCTTTTGGCTCAGTGAATTATTATCTTCATAATAATTCACTTAACTCATCGACTATGAATGTACTGGGCCACTACGCCGTAGTCCCCAAACAATACAGAGGAATCCAATCTATTAGACCTGTCTATCCTTAGTTATCATATCTTTATAGTCCCTCATCCATCTAATATCCTAGAAACCGTATACCAAGCATGTTGCTGTCAGATCTATATAGTTTCTACTCGAGTCTTGCTCTAATCAGATTCTCCCAAAGAACTCTTTCTCTCTCAATCCAAATAGCCCTGGCTAGGGATTTGCTTGAACAAGAATATATGAGATATTCCTCTTATGACACCGAGAGTGGATGATCCTCTATCAATACTCAATAATCTTCGTAAGGTTAGCTACCACTCCTGATGACCGATTGTGCTAAATCTCGAACTTCCAGGCCTATAAATCCGAAATCAAATAATTAAGTACTCATATAGGACAACTTTGGTATCTCAAGTCTAAGGACCAGGTATACCACTGGGACAATGAAATTACTGTTTGACAATGAGATATTATTGACCATGCATTCAAGGAGTTTGCCTACAAGAGGAATATCTCATTCTTATTCATATTTTTAAATTTATAGTTTATTTTTATTCTTATTTCTATAGTATATATTATAGTCCTTATGGCACCTAGAAAATCCTCAAGGGATAAAAGAAATAAAAAAAATAAAATCGATCATAGAAGCCTATTTGATTCTCTTAAACATGCCTAAAAAAATTTAAAATTTAACTATAAGATAATTCAAAAAGAAAAATACATGCACCTACAAGATTTAAGTGATTTATAGACTATCCAATGATTCATCATCTTCGCATTTCCTATTCTCCAAGTTAATGAATCAATCTATCCTAAACTATTTAAAATATTTTATAATAATATAAATATAGATAAAAATGATAGTACATCAACCCAATATTCTAAAGCATCATATTCTTACCATAGATGGTGTGATTTATAACATTTTAGACATCAAGGAAAAAAATAAAGGATGCTTTTCTTAAGGACATTGTGACAAAGAATTCATTACGTTACGAGGTTTATGGTTCTATTTTTAAAAACCCTAATTTATCTAATATTCCTAAAAGTTATAGCCACTTCTATTATTTAATACTAAACTACTTCATCATAATTTAACAAGTATTTACTTTCTAAATAATATTATCTTGATGAAATTAATATTTTAAAAATAAATATAATGTTTTGAATTAGGATGCGATTGTCAGATACCTTATTCGCAAAACTCATAAAATCAAATGAAATAAAAGCATCAAGATGCAAGACGAATATGAGAGAAGGAATAATTAATAATTATAATAATAAAATATCAAAATTTTATTCTTACAGCACGTGTCTTTTATCTTTCAGTTGCTTCTTATCAATCTCCCTCTATTGCAGGGGTGCCTCTGTCTTCTATTCATGCACCTTATTTTCTCTATCTTGTTCCATAGGCAACGTTATATAGTTAAACAATGTCTTATACTAGAAGCCTTACAGCTTAAAAGACTTGTGTAATCTTACAAAACTCGCAAACAAACTTAACTTCTATCTTATAATTTAATATAAATTATATTATCTCTAACATCCTCCTTTAATAAACTCCAATAAGTTGGCAAAGTGCACGTGTATTTTTCATTAGACAATTTGATATTTACTTCTGTAGCATTATATCTCAATCATTTTATTCTTCACTTGATGTTTTAAGGCCAATATCTCACATAAATATATTTTATTGTACCAAGATTGACTAGATTTTTTAACAATGTTAAGGTTAAAGAATTATCACAAAAATTTTAGTTGATATGTCTTACTTGAACCCAAACCTTTTGGTAATATCTCTGGATACATATGTTTTTGTTGTAATGTACACTACTTCTATTGTTGACATTGATATAATGAATTAGTTTTCAGAGGATCATGAAATTGTTTTAGATTTTAAGAAAAAATATATTATTTGATGTGCTATTTCAACTATCACAACGATCACCTATCTATATGCTCACTATCATATCACTATCAGCAAGTCTCAGTAAATCTAGTCAAATAAATTTTTTTCATAAAAAATATTAAAATATCTTATTTCATTCATATAAACTAAGATCCTTTTTATCACTTGGAGATGAATTTCTATTAAATTCTTCATATATCTCCTAATTAGGTGACACCATACATAATATTTGATTTGATTCCAATCAAATACAAAGGACTACCACTGGTATTATTAACAAACTTCAAACATGTCTCAATTGAACTATTAACAAACTTGCTCTTATTCATTTTGAACTTGTCAAAAATATTCTTAATATATTTCTTTTGAGAAATAAAATTTTTTGCATCTTATTGCTCAATTTCAATACAAGGTAATATCTTATTAAATTCAAGCCAGCCATATCAAATTCATCTGTTATAGAGGATTATAGCAAATGAATCATGACATCATCATTATTATATAAATTACATCATCCATATACAAGCAAATAATAAATTTCTACCTTGACTGTTTGTATTTTCTAAATAAAGTATATTTATAAGTATTTTTTAATCTATATGCCCAAAAATATGCCTCTATATGATTATGCTAGGCTCTAGATGTTTTCTTTATATCATATAACGTCTTTTCTAATTGATAGACTTTATTTTCAAATTCTTTTAGTATAAATCCAAGAGATTGATCGACATAAACAATTTCTTGTGACTCATTGTGTAAAAAGACTAATTTAATATCAAACTAATAAATCAACCAGTTATTTTGAGCTAAAAAAGAAAGTACTAACCTCATTATTTTTTATAAAGTAATTGGTGTAAATACTTTTATTGTAATCTACACTCTTTTTCTGTATATAGTCTTTTACAACTAGTTAATTTTGTTTTGTAAAGTCACTTTATAGCAATAGGCCTTTGCTTAAAGGGTAGATTGATCAACTCCTATATGTAATTTTCTTCAATAAAATCAATCTCTTGTTGTATTGTTTTTCTCCACTTATAATTATGTGACCATTTCTTAAAGGTGACTGAATCATCATTAACAAATAGTGCAAAGTGTATCTAGATATTATCAGCTTCTGTTGATATATCTGTAAAATTATGAAGATTAGTAACATAATATTTTGCCCATCTAGAATAATTTTATTTAAATTTTATGGTCTAAGAACTGTTCTTATCATAATTTTTTATCACCATTAATCTTTTTCATCAAATCTAAATAACCAGATCCAAAAGATCTAAAAAAATTTATAATTCATACCTTCAATCTCACTTTTGAAAATGATCAAACTTTCAATCCAATGATCTTTTTCTATCAACTTATCAGTTTCATAATTTTCTCTTCATTCGATTTTCTCTGTTACTGTTATCTAATTTGGTAATTATCTTCTTGATCGAACTCGATATCTCCTTCTTTGATGGTTATCAAGATCAAATCTTATCTTCATCGATATTATGATCAAATATTTATAGTATCACATCAGGATCTCTCTAATAATTTCTCTGTTTATTGATTTCTCTATTATATCTCTTTAAATATTTTTTTCTTCTTTAGTAGTTTCTCCCCTGTATTTCTCCCTCAATAATTTCCCTCCTTGTTTTCTATCTATTTTTTTTTTAAAACAATATGTTTTCTTTCTTTTGTATCTCTCTTATAATTCTCCTCTATCTAGAACCCTTGTTTCTCTGACGCAGGACCTTTAACAAGGCTTTGATATCATGTTAAGTAACTCATAAAATCAATATTAACAAACGTATGGAGATGAGAGTGGAAGATAAGAGAAGAAATAAATAATAATAATAATAATAATAATAATAATAATAATAATAATAATAATAATAATAATAATAGTAATAATAATAATAATAATAAAAATAATAATAATACCTCCTGTCTTTATTCACTTTGACACCACCTCTGTGCAACATGGAAGCCTTTTCTCCCTCCCCTTTTGGCAAAACCGGCAACCGCTTTCTGTCGGTTGCTGCCTCTCTTTCACCCTCTAGCCTCTCTCTTTGCAGGACTCTTTTCTTGACCTTGTTTCCTTCTTCCTTTACCCGTTGAAGCATAGGTTCCTTTGATATAGGAGCCTTAACAGTGCACACAAAAAGGCTTTACAGTTTAAAACACTTGTCTAATCCTAAAGATAAACCCTACTTCAATCACCTAATTTAAATTCAAATTATATATATATATTCCATCGACTAGTAACCTTAGGAATTAAGGCCAACATAAAATTCTTAAGAATCTCAAAGCTAGATCTAAACTCAATCAATCGCATTGTGAGAAGTTTCGAATCTGTTCTCCGCACCTCTGTTAGCCAAATCCATCTTCGCATTTTAATTGGTCATTCAGATTAAATCATTCTCTTTCTTAGTTAAGCTTATGATTCGAGCTTAGAATTGAATCATCATCAGTAAACGACACCCAGGCAAGGACAGGGTGGTAACTGTGCGCTTCCAAAGCGGCTGGGGCACCAAATCATGAGACAAACCGCTTTATATTTTTAGACTTGGAATAGGAATCCTCGTTGAACAGCCCAAGGTCGGTGTAGCGTCTCGGAGCCCGACACTGCTTGTGATGTGATTGGACATGGTTCAGTCAAGAAGGGAATTCAACTAGTCTTTTCCCGCATTACACGCATGTCAACTAGGGAATTCAACGAGTCCTTTCCCGCGTTACACGCGTGACGTAGAACAAAGGATGGTCATAGAAATGTAGGCCTCCAACGGAGTCGAAGGGACACCGCCTTCACCGCGCAAGAACCCAGGCACAAAAGTTGAGCGAAAAATATGCGCCATCGGACGCCCTTTTTTCATCGTACGAACAAAGACGGACAACACTCTCCCTCTTCTCTTTCTCTCTCTCTCTCTCTGCAGGAGGATCGCTATACACACACACGATAGCCGACACAAACACTGCACACGAGCCACAATGCACTTACAATAGCTGTGACCACTTTCCGCAGGCCCTACTGCTGCAGGATTCCTTTATTATTATTCACATGCTGCGGCGAGGACAAGGCAGCGGTGCGACTCCTCTCTCTCCGTCGAGCCACTTCACACAGGAACTTCCCGACCACTGTTCGTAGTTAACGGATCCCATCAGACAATAGACTCCTGCAGACCTTCAATCGGCCGCTTACCCGGCTCCGAGAAGGACCGTACAAGCTGGCCTCTCAGTCCGTGGGGTGCGCGACCAGCGAGCGTTGCAAGGAAGTGCTTGTGTTTGGTAGCTCGGCAGCCGGAGCCTACGTACTGCGTATTCATACCGTGGCCCCCACCACGGCGACTGTGGTGGAAGCTACCTTGACCATGTCCACGCCGGCCGTGACCAGAGCCGCGGCAGCCTTCGTGGTCGTAGCAGCCAGCACCACTGTTTCATTCATGAGGCAAGGCCGGTTCTCTTTAGTAACCAAGGCAAATTGCTCTGCCTCCTGTGCTGCGGCTTCCGCCACTTGGTCTTCTTCTGTTATCGTTTGTTGTAAGAATTTTGCGACGATCTCGATGCTGGGGCACGCCACCTGCGCCGCCCAGGCCTCGTCCTCCTTCTTCCCCTTCTTCCTCAACACCTCTGTGGCGTCCACCTTGTTCACGTTCCATCCGGAAAGAGTGGAGAGCCTGTGGATCTTCTGCAGCTGGCAGCACGTCAGTTTGCATGTGTTTGCCTTGATCTCGTCCAGTGCTACCTCCAGCAGCCTCGCCTTGGCCTCCTCGTCCGTCTCTGTGCCCTCGGCGCGGAGATAACGGTCCATCTCCGGCACCCCGATAGCTCGTCGTATTCCCCGGGAGTAATCCACGACGCCTGGGTCAAAGAGCCCCCTCACCTCCTGCACCAGCCCACGTCCTACCATGCAGTCGACGCGCTCCGCAACGAACGCATGCAGCACCGGGAGCTGGACATCCACCCACAGGAAGCAGCACTCGTACCGCCTCCTGAACTCCCTCCCGGCCCCCTCAATCATCGCCTCGATGTAGGAGTTGGATCCGCCAGCGACGATGGGGAGCCTTCCCCGCCGGACGATCGACTCCACCGCTAGTATTGCCTCCCGGCGGAAGTCGGACGCCGTGAACTCAGCGTCGCGGGGTATGCCACCGATAAGGTGGTGGGGGATCCCGGCACGTTCCTCGTCGGTGACCTTGTTGGTGACGACGTCAAGGCCGTCATACACTTGCATTTTGTCGGAGTTGACGATTTCGCCGTCAAAGTAAGCGGCGAGATCGACAGCAAGCCGCGACTTGCCAGTGCCGGTTGCACCCAGCACCAGCACCACCTTGTCCTTGGGACCACTTCTGGTCTCGAAGGATCCCATGGGGAATATGTACTGCCCTGACGATGATGAAGGAAGCTCCCGGGATAGCAGCTGAACTTGGAGACGGCCAGTCACGGGGATTCGCTGCAAACAAACCTGATTTAAGAGCAAAGAGAACGACATAATTAGGGGTTGACTGCACACTAAGATAAAAAACACAAAGGTAGCTAAATCTTTTATATCCTCAAAGCCATACCAGTTTGTGTGTGTGTATATATATATATATATATATATATATATTTGTATATTTATTTATATATATGTATATACATATATATATATATATATATATACATGTATATGTATATATATTATATATATA